ACATCTGCCACATCTGAGGCTGCACCAGGGCCTCCCTGCCCTGAGCCGCTCAGTGGCGGGGCAGATATCGCCGCTGATAACACGCCAAGGCACAGAGTCGGAACCAAAGGAGGAACACGTGGTGCCGACGGCCGTGACACTGGAATGTAGCTTTTAGTTTCGGGTTTCGCATTAAAAAAAAGCTGCCGCTCGGCATTTTGCACGTTGGCAGCGACCAAACAGAGTGAGGGAAAGTCTGATGGATGAAAGCCTCACTACTGAGAAATGACTCAGTGAGATTAAAGTAAACTGATCTCACAAATTTACATTCCTTCTTCACAGTGGCTGTAGGAGGCAGGGTTGGTGATGAAAATATGTTTTTGGCAGCCTTTTGCTTGAAGGAAACTCTATACCTCCTGCTATTTTGATGCAAAAAATTTTTGTTTTCATTTTTTACCTTACATTTCCTCTACGCTCGGGTCACTTCCCCCTGATGAACATTAGATCATGAGTCTTGTCCTTGGTACCTCTAGTTGTGACAAAATTGCCTTTAAATGGGACTTGACTTCCAAAGTCATGTTGGGACAATGATGTGTAAGAGTACCTGGACAGGTAAAATGAAGCACATTGAGTTAGTTGTGAAAATGTACACCACTGATATGTTTGTAAAGAAGACATGAAACTAAAGCCGGCAGCCTTTCTGTTGAGCTTACTTCAAAGGGTGTAATACAAGCCTGACTGAGAAACCCCTCAAAAAACAGTCCAGTGAACTCATTACTGCTTCCAACTTGTCACACGTAGACCCTTGGTCAGGGCCTCCTTATTTGTTCTTTTCTCTAGTCAGTTGAATTCCTTCAGCATTTGTCTTTCATCGAAAAGGACAGCAAGAGACCACAAACAACTCTGTATCCAGACGTGATGACCAAGAACATGAATGATAAGCATTTTGGAGAATGTAATATTAATTAATTTAGCTTAAAAAGATGTACTTTAGGTGAATACTGTATTTAGAGATGGACACAGGCCATTTAGCTGCCACCACTACTGATGATCACAATCATTTGAAACCTTTAGAAGTGTCGTAGGACAGACTTAGTTTATTTTGGTCAGAGCCCGATTTGCCCATTTCTTTCACTCCAGTCTTTAAGCAAAGAGATGTTTTATTATTTAACTAGCAGAAAGGTTGGGGTTTGGGGACTCATGTCACGCCAACTTAGATTTTTAGTCCAGATGAAAGAAAACATGAAATTACATTTAAACTTTAATGTAGATCATTCTTCAAGCAATGCTCTCATAAATCTGTCTCCCAACAGGAAACCCAACCTGCATTTAGAAAACGCCTTATAATGAAGGCAGATCTTTGTGTGGTGCGGTCCCACCCGTGCCTGTTGATGCCTGCTCGCCGGCTTCAGACACACATTGCTCTGTCATCTCACCTGGCTTAAGTGCTGTTTGTTGCAGCTGCACTTTCATTCAGCTTAACCACCGCAGAGTTTTTGACAACTCCCCCTGACATGTGCATGCTTATTCGCGGTGTCGCGTTAATTCCCCTCTTTCCGCAGTCCTCCGGCCTCCGTCTCCCCCGGCTGTCTGTTTTGGCATAACGCTCACTGCGGTTGTTTATATTGAAGGTTTAGTCAAGGCCTCATCCTTGACTGACTGTCTGTGGGTGGGGACATCTGGAGCGTATAAAGAATGGGTGGATGAGTGGACAAAAGACAAAGCGCAAAACTGACCGCTGCTCAAAGTGCTTGCAGGCTTGGTGGGAACGTTTCTGGGATGGAGTGTGTGCCTGTAGGTGTTAGCCGGGAGTCCTTTGACTTTGTACTCTTCATTTACCTTGGTGTTAAGGCAGAGCTCACACTCACACCCCCTTTAGTCTTCTTCAATATTAACACCCGGTATTTTTTTTTGCCCAGCTCCAGGACGAGCTGCGGAAAGTGTGCTGTGAAGTAGCGTACTTCTGCTGTCAAGAGGCGTGACATGAGCGACAGCACTCCACTTAGCGCTGGAGAGTGTCGGTACATGCATGGCCACACAGAGAGGACCGGTTCTGGGCACAGAGGAATGGCTGAAGAGAACAGAGGATAGTGGGTCATTCGGTTGAAGTGAACACTCCAGTGACAAACTAATGCAGGCCTCCTCTGCAGCAAGAGAGAGCATTTACACCCACAGCACAGGCGCAAACAGGAAGGAAACACATTCATATGCATACGGGCGATGGTATCATGCTATCATTTCATAACCAAGCTGTTTATTCTCTATTTTCTTCCATTTTTTATTCTATGGCTATTAGAGCACTTTCAAACAAACAGGGGGTCCAGCATCAATAATGGAGCAGAGTGTATCTTTTTTTTTTTTAAGATCAGGGAAACCATACCCTGCTGTCACTTTTTAGATGAATAATACACACAAATGCAAACAGAGGACAGGGGACAAGATGGAGGAGAGAAAAGGCATCAGGTATAGTGGTTGAAGATCAGACGGTGCAGGAGGCAGTGAGAGGCGGCTGTGCATTAACACTGCACTCAGCCTGAGATTGCGGACTCAGCACTTCTTCAAACTGTTAGGGACAAAGTTTCTGCTCTCAGATGGTCTTCTAACAGAAACGCTATCAGAAGTGTTAGTATGAGTTAAATAAAGTAGCTTTTACCGCCAAGCGGACCTGCTCCTGAATGTCCCTCTCTTTTGTCCGTGGTCCTTTTGTCAGCACACAAGAACTACGTTTCCTTAGCTCAGGCTAATCCCTGAAAGGTGTAAAGCATTCAACACTCAACTGAGGATGTTTGGATCAATTATTTAGCATGCTTAGATGACACCGTGAGAAACACACGGAAGTCTTCAAATGCACCATCATGTAAGGCCCAGGTACAGATTTGTAATAGAAAAATGTGAGCAGTGACATTTGGACTTTGGTTCCGTCTCAGTATCGCTGTTGATTTTTGATGAAGATGCGTGCAGTTTGTGCACATTATAAATGCGTAAAAAGTTTGCTTTATATTATTCATGTGTGACTGTGCCCAGAGGAGGAGAGTAAACTTTTATCTGGAATGACACCAATGTGTGTTTCTTATCTGATATAAATAGGATGATGCCCAATTAGGTTTCGGTACATAATATGTTAATGAATGACATTCATGCGTGATAAGTTGATCGGTAATCAAATCTGATAAGTTTCACAAACAAAGTAAGAAACACAAGCCGCTTGTATTACACCCTAAATAAAAGAGGTGTGTCCCTGATGAAATCTTAGTTCAGTATGTTTAGTTTTCTCCCTGTGGCTGAATTTGATCCTCGCTGCCTCTGTAATTCCACTCGGCAAGCTGTCCAGACACACACAACACGCAAGATTATTTGTTCAGATGCCTGCGGCTGCTTAAAGCTAAGCTGTCAGTCCATTTGTATTCTTCTCTTGATACAAGTCATATCAACCCAAATCCTGGAGGACTTTCATGGAAATTGTGTGACTTTAGTGAGGCTGACATTAAGACGAGCCAGCGGGTGATAACAGACAGGACAGGCTGGGGAGCGCAGGCTTGGAGGACAGATTTGAGGGGTCTCCATCTGTGAGTATAATCCTGAGATCTGTATGGAGAACACTGAGAACAGAAAGGTAGGAACTATTTATGTCATCAGCCACAAATCTTATCATGTTCTTGTTGTTTGTTTGATCTATCAAGACAGGCAACTGGATTCATTGGGTGTCTGTGTTTAAGAGACTGAGACATAAAAATAGATCAATCTCTGCTTGTTACAGTTGTTTTGGTAGGCCGGGACGTCTTTACAAAATCTTGCTTCTGCTCTGTTTATGAAGAAAATGTTTTTTATTGTAACCTTCTTTGTTCGGTTATCAGAGAAAAATGGAAGAAAAGTGTATGTTTGCTTGCAACTGCATGCAATTGAATGGAAACAGAAGACCCAAAAACATGAGGACAGTGAGAAACATAATTCATTTGTAAAGAGAGGATGATAGCTCCAGCCTTCCACAGTTCCCTTTCTCTGTCTATGGCTCTTTAGGTGATTTGTACTGTGTGTTTTTCTCCATTAACTCCATCTGTTCAGTCATCAAAACCTGAAGTCTGATGTGTTTGCCACCTCTGTGTGCACTACAAACTTTGGCCTGCATTCAGTCACCGGTGCGGGTCGTGCCAGAATGGAGCAGCCGCCACAGTTTTCAATGCTAATGGAAAATTCAAGGGCTTCAGCTCTGTGTGGGAAGCTGCCATGTGTCAGCATGAAGCACTCAGCATTAAAGTCACTTTGTGTGCGTGTGTGATTTCTTTTCCAGCGTGCTTTTTAAAGCACTTAAACCCAAAAGCAAATTATGGGAAAAATACACTCCAACATAAGAGAGATCTGTCATTCCAGCGCTTTCACTGCAGATCAGAGGAAATGTGAAAACATCTGTTAGATCCTGCTACAGTAGGAGAACACTGAGCATATCGCCCCCAAAAATGGAGGAGGGTTACTTTTGGACCAACTAGGAGAGGCATCAGTTTCATAAGTTTGAACTAAACTGGACAGGAGCTGTTATGACCTTTTTAATGAGGAAAATCTGACCTTTAGTCACATTGGCTCATCAGGTCAATCAGTTTGATTTTACGGACCTCAGAACAATGTGTCAAAGTGCATCATCCCTCAAAATCAGTCAACAGGTTTGACAGATGAACACAGCTGGAGGTTGTCCTGATTGTATTGAAGGGGAGCTGGGACAAAATCTGGCCCAGCTACTCCGACTTCTCGTGTAAAGTAACAAAAGAAAACCTGCCTGACTGATTTTAAAAGCTCCATCAAAAGGAGCGCCTCACAAAGTTAATCTCAACTTTAGGTCCATGTTTTAAATCCTGATGGTATCACAGAATTACCCTCAGTCCCTTTGGAGAACGTCTCGTGGATTATGTTTCAATGCCTCGCTCGGTTTCTCAGTGAAACTCTCGCGCGGCATTCGATAACATCAAACTGAAAGCAGCTCCAGTTGTCTCATACTTTGTCTCTGTCTCTCTGCCTCTTCACTCCTCAGTGATGCTGCTGGACACAACAGAGACTACCTCAGAGCTGGGCTGGACCACCTACCCAGACACTGGGGTAAGCCGGGAAATGTGCTTTCCAGATGTGGGGGCATTAATGCAGCTGTATTAGAATTTGTTGCACACGTGTATCACAGAGTTGTGTTTTAAATTAGGGATTATGATTATATTGTTCATTGGGGTTTGTGGTGTAGAGACATGAAACACAATGGTATGCAATAAATCACACGTTTTCTGAACGGAAGACATTTTACGAGATGGTAATTAAAGAAGATTAAACGTTAACAGTAGGTTTTGGTTGGTGCCTCATCTAATGCTGGTTGCTGTTATTCAATGATTTCGGAATTATTCTTGTGATGAATTATTTTACAAACAAAAGTAAGATAGTGTGAAGCGGCAGAAGCTGTAAAATATGCTCTGCCTTTTGTGTTCAGAGCAGGAACAACCACAAAGGCACGAGTGGCTGGTGCCACAAAAGGGAGTTCAAAGAGCAACATTTAGGTTCAACATTTAGATGCACTCTTTCCATTAGATGTGGATGTTTGCAAGTACATATACAGTCTCATTGTAGGTTCATTTTTATCTTAGATATGTGGAAATTGTGCTGAATATGAGGAAATTGACAGAAATATTCAAAATCAGCCAACAACTTAACTAGATTTATTTGAACTTTTTAAAACCTGTTTCTCACAAAAGAAAGCACACATAGAATGTCTGAACAGTAATATAACATAGTTATATAACATAGTTAATCACAAAACTATTTTTTTTCTCTTTGTGTCTCTGTGTGATGCTGCAACTTTACCAAAGCTCCAAAGCTTTACATACTTTTTCTTTCCAAATTGTCACATGCTTACAATTTGAACATGTGTTACTCATGGGGGTGTAATGGCTTTACACTTTTAACCCAGCGGAACTCGCTCCAGTCCCAGTCTTTTTCAGATAGTTTTCACTTTCTTACTTTGGCCTCTATCTTGGTTGTTTATGGGGAAAAAATGACATTGTTTTGTTCAGATATCTAAAAGATGTATTGTTTGTGTGTCGTTATCTGACAGCTTCTCTTGAAAATACAGGGACTGATAATCCATCTCACAGGTTTGACACCACATTATTTGCTAATGTAGAAAAATATACATTTTCATATTGATGAGGGAGATAGCACACAACTTGTAGTCATGGACAGTTTTGGCACTTTTTTGTCTAAAACTAAAAAGAGAAATCTAACAGTCAGTTTGATTGATGAAAATGTCATTTTTAACAGATGTGCTTCCCAACTGAAAAGGATTATCATTACCTAGACTGACTGAATACAACAAAACCACAGACACAGCACAATGGTTCTTTACTTGTTTTGTTCCTGCTCAATGGCATATACAAACAAGCTTAACACTCACTTATATTTTCTACTCTCTGGCCTGTAGATGTGACGACTTTGTTTGTTGGTTCATGCAAATCACAGTTATTAATATCAGTTTTAAATAGGCCCGGTTGTTGTGTCACATTCCACATGTGTGTAAATGAAGTAAAAAACTTTGTGGTAATCTTGTATTTATTTTGCCTGCCATCGTGTGCAATTACTGCAATCAAAATAATTGAAATAGAGGCCAGGCTTCTACAGTTGTGTGGCTATATTTTACTTTACCTATTTCATTGCTGCAATTGGATGGCAGCCCACAGCAGGGCCCATCTAAGAGAGCAGTGAGTGCCCCCGACCAAAAAATGTGCTTCAAAACAGTCATTGGACACAAAGTGATTTTCGGGCTCTCATGCCGTGCCGCTCTTCAAACACTCGTCAGGGCACTGAACAAGAACCTGAAGGTCAAGACCAACATGGTCAAAGCCATTTTTCCACTCTGCATTTATTTCAGAAGGAATTTTCTTGTTTCCCAGGCCACCCATGCAACCCTCCCCCTCTATCCCGCCTTCACCGCCTAACTGTTGGTCTCTTCACGCCCCATAAGCACCTAATTTTAAGAAATTGTGGAATCCGGCCTATGAAAGTAGCATTACCTCCCAAAAATACACACAATTAACTCATGATAAAATACCTCAGGTTGAACAGTAGACTTCCCTACTTATGTACTTTTGTAGCTGTATCTATCATTTGGATGGTGCGACCGTGAATGTGTGTGTGGCTTAGAATGGTGCTTACTCCTTGCTATGTGTGATCTTGCGTGACTGTGCAAGGGTCAACTCCTGGGTCAGTAAAAATCATTCATCTGTGAGTGATCATAGCTCACTTCTAATACGTTTCATAATTACACACATACATCGTTCGCACTCTCGAGGAAATCAGCCCAACCACATCTGAGCCACTACACATCTCTAGTGTACAACAATACTATCAGACTGTGTGAACATGTTCAAACAGTTAATGTATGAATTCCGATCATCACACTATGCAAGCAAATAAAAAAAGGGCTGACGGACATGTTTATACATGTTACATTTATACACCTTCCTTTTTTGGAAATAAGCAAATCGAAGCCTCTTACCAGAGCACGGTGCAGTGGTTTCAGACCAACATCTGGCAGGCCCACGCGCACACACCATCCTTTTATCTCACCATACACTGCACTCCACCTTCTGCCATCATCAGCCCAGTCTGGCTTCCAGCATCAGGCATAATTACACATGATGTTTGATTAAACAGGGCCTCATGTGCGTTAAAAACTTGTGAACCATGATGGCAGCTGCTAATAGGAGGCCGTCGGTGGGTGTATGTGTGTGTGTGTGTGTGTGCGTTAGGAAATAAGTGTGTGCCTGACCAAGCATTTGCATTTGCATCCCCTTTATGGTCCCTGGATGACAAGTGCTTCTGAGATGGATGTATGGTTATTTGACCCAGGGCATCAAGCTGAGAGAGGTAGAAAGGCAGAACAAGGAATGGGATGTGTGTGTGTGTGCGTGCGTGTGTGTTTGTGTAGTTTTAAAAAAAACCCTTTTCTTTAGAAATCTCATCTTTTTTCGCTTCAGGGTCTCTGGATATCCTTCACTTCTCTTCATCCTGCTGCTTTGTCTTGCTCTCTTACTGCCTTTCCAGTCTTGTAGTGTGCATCTTTGTCTATGCTTCTGTCGCTCCCACTTAAAATCCTTCCACCCTTTGCCCTTCTCAGACCCACCGAGTGTCTCCCTCATTTTATTCTTTCTCAGCCCCCTCATCTCAGAGCGCACCCTGTATCTTATTTCACAGCAGACTCAACGCTGCAGAAAACTTCTCATTTCGTACTTGCACTTCTACATGAGTGTTGGGGAATGTGTGCACGCACATATACTTGTAGTTCTTGCAGTGTGTGTGTCGTGTCAGAGGCCCTGCCCCTCCCTGTCCTCTGTCACTGGAGAGCTTGCGTGGCTTTACAGCATTTCAGTTCAAATTAGATCACAAAGATGAGTCGGTCGCTGGGGCTTTTTCTTTTTTTTAACTTCCTTTCCAATGATTCCTCCACCCCTCCTCCCCAATCTGGCCCATTTTTTTTTCTTTCATCCTTCACGAGGGAGGGAGAAAATGAGAAGAGAAAAAAAAAAGTAGGGAAAGGGGTAGGAGGGGTGAGGGGGCATGCAAGAGGTGGGGGGGTTAGGTCAGAAAACAAATGAAAGCACTGTTTTTGCACGCAATGCCACACACGAATACGGTTGGCTGTGCTTTCTACCTGGCTTACACTTCGGCTTCACCAAGCCTCAGACAAGTGCCTGCTCACTTTTTCTGTTGACAACATTTTCTACCCACCCTCTTGATCAGCATCCCCTCACCGTAGCATGAAATCTCTGTTGTCCCCTCCGTCTCCTTTACTTCGTCCCTTGTGTAAAAGAGTGAATCACCGTCTGGGACTGAACATTTTCTTCCTCTGTGTCCAACTGACAACGTCCTGAACAGTTCCTTTTGTTATCTGCTTACGGATCCTATCGTGAGTTCAGTTGTGCGGGATACGAAATCACTCTGATGTGCGATGCTGTGAGGATTTTTGTTCATAACAGTTGTCAGAATCACACAGAAGAAGAGACCTAAGCATGCAGAGATACAGTATCACTCACAATCACAAAATCACACATGCTTAATGCATCCTGATAGGATGGCAGGATCTTTTGTCCTTTTTCCATTGTTGTGGGGGGAATAATGATGATGATGCCTAATACATAATTCCTCTGAATTACAACAGAAAAAGCCCGGCTTGTCACTCCGGGCCAAAAGGGCTTAAGGCACAGTCTTTTCATCTCGGGTGGCACTGTACTGTATAACCAAAACCTGCACCCACATTTACATTTTCCCCCCTCTGACAGTCTCCCTCTGAGCTAGGCTGCTCAGTTTGCCCTGCAAAAAAAAAAAAACATGTCTTTTTCCCTAAATCTGTTCATGCATACACAAGTGCTGAGATTCTTTGGAAATACAAAAATATCTACTAATGTTACCGCACAACAGCTGCCATAAGTCAGGCACAGAAGTGTCCACCACCTGTCACATGTGAACAATGGTGCACATGCAATGCAAATGCAAAAATACATATATATATATATATATATATATATATAGTTTATGACGGTATCTTCAGGATGAACATAACCTTTTGCACAGGCGGTTCCTCTGGAGCCGATGCTGACTTTCAACTTTTTTTTTCCAGTGTCTCAACAATCCATTTCCCCCTAAGACGTATTTCAAGTACCACACTTTTAAGCAATATTTGGTCAAATGTTAGGAGGAAATTTGAATTAGACTGACTCGGTTTGATCTCATAAGGTGTAAAAAAAAACCAACACAAGAAAAAAAAAGCAAATGCCTGCAGAAAAAAGAGAGATAATCCAGGAAAGAGAAGAAAAACACTGTGAGGGATTTTAGAAAGAAATGATAAAAGCAGAGCTACGTTTTCCACAAATACAACAACCCAGAAACCCTAACTGAGTTTGGGACAACAAAACCCATAAAGGACAAAATACATTTGCCAAAACAAAAACAGATTGAATTGTTTAAGAAAAATATTTAAATTTCATACAGAACAGTAAACAGCACACACATAAACACAGAAAAGCCCTTATATTTAAAAAGAGGCTGTGTTTTCAGATATCCTGGAAGGCTTTCAGCTTTCCCTTGTTCTGTCATTTATTGTGGGCAAACATTAAAAAGCATACAGCGCTCTAAAAACATTACTTGAGCTCTCATGCTTAGAAAAGACAAAGCGTTTCTCTGCAGGAAAGTGCTGGCTGGCTTTGCTCCGTGTGTGTGATGCTGGTCAGAAAATGTTAATGCGCTGCCATGCAACGGCACGAATGTGTTCCAACACCATATTGTCGTCTGAGAGGAGCTCAAAGCTCTGCTGTGTTTTAGCACAGCCTGGTAAATGTCATCTGCTCCAGCTTTTTAGCACTACAAGCAAAATGTATTCACCTGACTTTGCATTGGAACAAAGGCAGAAAAACTCCTCACAGCTGGAGCAGAGCAAAGCTTCACCCACCTCAGGAAACAGGCAGAAATTCATCAGGGTATCTCCCGGTCATTACAGTTTTATCTCCCGCGCTCGATGCGTGTTTCATGCTCTAAATGAACGGCTCAAGTGCTCTAATTACTGGTTTTACACTAGCGATTACTTAATTAGAGAGCTGAAGAACTATCGAGAAGAGTAAGAACACGGACACTCAGATGTGGCCTACATCAGACAGGAGGAGTGGAACAAAGAGGGACTGAGGGCCTTTGTTAAACATAGCTTAAGCTTAGAGATTTCAAGCAGCTGTGCATTTGGAAAGAACATAAACATGTAATACATATGTAATACATATGTACCCTGGCGAAATGTAAACTCAGTCATTGTTGTGTTTTTAAAGCTCCCTGCTAAATGTATGATTTCCTTTGGGTTTGTCTTTATTTCAGTGGGATGAGGTCAGTGTGCTGGACGACCAGGGAAAGCTCATTCGCACCTTTGAGGTGTGTAACGTCAACCAGAACCCGCGTCTGCAGGACAACTGGCTGGCCACCCCCTTCCTGCTGCGCCGCTCGGCCCCGCGGGTCTTTGTGACGCTGCGTTTCTCGGTGCGTGACTGCGCCAGCCTGCGCACGCCGCTGCCCACCTGTCGGGAGACGCTCACGCTCTACTACAAACAGGCCGACTCCCAGGCGGAGCTGATGAGGACCTGGGTGGCCGAGGTGAGACCCAACGATGGTGGTTTACTTTGTAAACCTGAAAGAAATGTGTCTTCTGTCACCCATTTTCCTGAGATATGATACAACCATTTATCCAACCTCTGATATCATTTACAGAACTCCCACAGATCTTTGTAACGGGAGATATCAGACTGCAACTGAGTCTGACAGTGACTGACACCTGTCTTGTTTAATTTGTACGATCAGATTAAAAAAGAGCTTTCCACTCTGCTCTTCTTTTAGTTTTGAGAGAACATCTGCCGTGCAGTGGTTAGCAATAGCTGTAGAACAAGCTGATCTAACCACTCTTCCTGTTGTTGGTGCTGTTGCTCATCTTTATCTTTGTTGTCACGTTGAAAAAAGACCAAAGTCAGAGTGGATGAAGTACAGCCTTGTCAAAAATAATTCCAACGATCATGTCAACAGTGCCCTTTTTCCATGAGATTTTGAAATACTCTGAATCTCCTGTCAACAACCCCCCAGTGTTGATGGGTAATTTTCACTCCAGTGAAAACATTCAAAAAAAGGAATTTGGAAAAATGACAGCTTTTTGTATGCTTTTGTCAAAAGACTACCGCTGAATTGCCAATGAAGGACTTTTTCAGAGTTTTTTCAGCTAGCAACATCACAACATCAGGAATCCTTTCTGTGCTGTGTTATAGGTGAAAGGAAATAATATAAAAATCAGTACAATGCCCATTTTTATTAGCATTCTTGGATGAAGTAATATAACCCCCCCTCCATCCTTCACATAGCATGAGAGTACACTGTGTTGCCTGCTGATGATGTCCCCGTATAAAATCTGTAAAACTAAATTTACTTTTAAATTCTGCTTATTTTGTTATTATATTTCAGTAGGCAGTCGAGAATATGTGAGAAGGATGCCTTTTAAGCACATTTACTTTTGCATACCGTTTAAACTTTTGACACCTCTCAAAGTCTGAACCGATAAGAAAAATGCAGGGAAAAGGAGGAACTTTCCTTCTATTGCATTACACCCACTCACAGACCCGGACCGCTGTTAAGCCAGAGTCTGGGGTTTTACTCTTAGGCTGGCCACCAACACACACTCGCTTGACCTTTGTGTATCAAAAAAGACATTTGCTGCTCAGTCAGCACGCAACAATAAAATCTTAATACATAAATCTTCAGGATGTCAAGCAGACGGTGAATCACAGAGATTTCATTGGAAAATGAATTCCACAGAGCAGGGATGCTGCATGCACTGTGAGGTTTATCAGGTGGCATAACCAGCACATACTTTTTCATTGTCTGATTAATATATCGATTATCTAAAAATTATCTAGTAAATGTGTGATTTCATAAACTGTTCATAACCTCATATTATTAGGAAAGGGAGTTGTTTTTTTTTGTTTTTTATCCAACAGAGTCTTAAGCGTATGAGCTTAGGAGCAAAGAAGAGCGCCTCAGCTCAGTGACCTAAATATAAATGCAGCCAAAAGGGCACATGTTGGAGGTAGACCAACCTACCAACCTTATGTTGTGTTTTTAATAGTTGCTGGAATAGTTACATCTATGACTTTCAGCTAATCTAAATGTAAGGCAAAACATCCACGGTACTTTTCCATACTTCGGGTCAAATTTGTTTACGATAAACTTACAAAAGGATTTTACATATTGTTATGGTATGCTTTTATGGGAGCTTGGAATTATCTTTTAATGCTACCTGACAATTGACTGCTTTTACCAGATATTTTCTTTCATTGCTCTTACTTTATTTATTATAGATTTCTTTTTTTTTTAAAGAGCTTCATTAAACAAAATTGACACAGACACCAGACCTTTATATTAAACTTAAAAGGAGCAATGTAACTCAGTTAGGGTTAGGGTTAGTCGTGGATTGAGTTTCATACAGTTTCACGTTTCCTTTTGTGCACACTATGAGAGGGAGAAAATTCCTTCAGGTTTAACTGTGTTTGGCCACACCTTAAACACACAAGTATTATTTTTGTTAGTCTTTTTTCCTAGTCAAAAACAGCCTCAGGCTGAATAAATAAAGTCATAATTAGAGATGCATAACTGTTTCCATCCAAATGACACAGACTAACTGTGTAATCACTCTGATCAGTGAGGAAAAGCTGCTGCCTCTTCAGGCCATGCTGATGAGACAAAGCAAACGCGTCAGTGTGGTCTCCCTAAATGTCACTTCAATCCCACTGATTTCCATCAATGAGACGGAAATGAAAACTTCACACCTACCTTAAAAACTCTGAACCGTGTGTCTTCAGTTAAAACCAGCTCAGTCGGAGTATGTTTTATTCATCTGAGCATTTAGTTTAGTCTTTGTTGAGTGTTTTTCTGGGTCATTCTGAGCTACTGAGCCTGAATTGCCTGAGCTACACGAGTAGCCACTGTCGCTGTGGGAGGGATGCAATATTTGTATACATGAACGTGTTTCTCCTCGGGGAAGTGGAAGGCTTTTTTAAAAATGCAAATCAAACTGATGAGGGCTCAGAGTGGAGTCATGAAGGAGCAGGAAGCGGCGGTGCACGGGAAGCCTGAGCAAGGACTTGAACACAAACCACCATTAGGAGCTACATAGATCTGAACCACCTTTCACAGGTTGTCATTAAGCTTCTTAATGAAAATGCTACAGAAAAATACATCCCGAACTTCCTCTAATGTTTACTCCTCTTTCATTTCGAGTTTTAATAAAGAATATGTCTCCGGTCCTAACTCTAAAATCTATTTCTGCTCTGTTCCGCTCACTTTCATCTTCCTGCCATCCACACTCTTTCTGCGCCACACTGTACCCTAATGATCACCTCTTCCTCTGGGTTCTGTCAACTATGTGTTTTTCTGTCCTCAGCCATCGAGCAGGGAAAAGGATACGAGGGAGGGCTGGGTGAAGATCGACACGATTGCAGCCGATAAGAGTTTTTCCAAGGTGGAGCCCAGCTCCCCTCACCAGTATCAGCCCAACAGATACAGCCGCATCAACATTAAGACGCGCAGCTTTGCCCCGCTCACACGCAAAGGGTAACCACCTCCAGGACACACTTTGCTCCTCATGTTCTTCCAGCGCCACTCCTCCCGGGGCCATGGACGTTCTCAACCTCACATCTGACCCTGTATTTCAGATTCGTCTTGGCCATCGTTGACAGCGGCGCCTGCGTGTCCCTCATGGGCGTGTCTATCTTCTACCGGCGCTGTCCAGCCACCAGCCTCTATCTGGCATCCTACCCAGCAACCCCTTGTGGTGCGGAGCCAACTGCCCTAGTGCCTGTGACAGGGACATGTGTCCCTCACAGCAAAGCCCAGGGAGGCACCCCCCCTCGCATGCACTGCAATGCTGAAGGGGAGTGGTTGGTCCCCGTTGGAGGATGCGTGTGTGACGAAGGATATGAGCCAAACATCAATGGATCTGCCTGCTTGGGTGAGTTTGGGGAACCTCATTTCTCTGTAACTGGTTGTTCTGTAAGGTGACTGGCCATAGCAACCACCAGAAATCTGGAGTCACGGCCTTTCATATCAGACTAATCAGACAAACGCAGCAGCTCAAGATCCAGAGTTAACATCCTTTGGAAAGCCTGTGTTTACGGGGCAAAGGTTGAACAATACCGAGGTTGTATCCGTCTGTGGTCTGCAGGGATTTAATAACGGCACGACATTACTCAAGTGACTGGGTTTATTAAATGAGTCGGCTTGTTGGCATTTGCCCCACTGCACTAAAACAAGGACAGGTCAGATGCAGGAGGATCGTAAAGGCAGCAATGTGTTCTTTTAGGATGGTTAAAGAAATATATGTGACAACAGCTTCTACGGCAAAATCAGCTCTCTGTTATCTAAACACATTCTTTATGTTTAACAGTAAATGTCTAAATGTGCCTGAAAGTGGCTGGCGTGTTTAAACCAAAACGTCGTACGGTCAACAGTTTGCGCCAGTTTTTAATCACCAGAGTCTTACGGACAAACTTTCGGAAGAAATGTTGAAGTAACTTCAAGTTAAAGGGCTCCAAGTGGAAAGGAGAGAAGATGCGTGTAAGAAAGTCCCCAGCTGAGAGACAGACAAATAGTTTCAGTCAGTGACACCGAAACTGGTCAAAGAGCACTTCACCCTTCTCAAAGAAGGTGTGAGTAAGGGGGGAAAAAAAGCTGAAAACTTTGAGAGGCGTCCAGACGAACAGAGAGGGATGTGTACGTAGAGAGCAGGAGGGGGAAAAGAGGAAGAGATGGAAAGAACCGAAGAGAGAGGGATGTGACACATTTAGGTCATGGCGATGTAATGGCCACTCGTCTGTGAACAAGTGACAGAAAGCGGAGGAGTGGAGGGAAAATAGGGAGAGATGGGGGGGGGGGTTGAACGATAGGAGGATGGCAAGTTAATGACTTAAAGAACTGAGCAGGCAAAGAAAATCAAAGGCATGAAAAGAGAAAACAGTTAAAGGTTGTGTGAGTCTTTTTGTGTGAATGTGTGAGAATGATTAAAGTATGTTGCTGCGGTGCTGATGTATCCTCTGCCCACATACATGTGAGGGCTCAGGATGTTAGGATTACAGTCAGAACCTGCATTCTCAAAGGAATTTGAGTGGGCTTAATTGCTCAAGTCTCACTAATGGCAGCACAGTTAATCCTCAATCCTGCCAAGTCAGCTGTGAAATGTGCTGGGGCTCTTTTGGTTTACATCTGCACTCGTCCCGCCACTTGTGTTCGTCTGGTTTTGATTGATATCTACTGACAAGTTTACCCTTCACAACCACTCGCCTGCCGGAGCAAAAACTTCCAGAGACCGTCGATGAATGATGAGACTTTGCGGCCCACGCTGCTCCTGCTTTTTGTTCCAGCTCTCGTTTGATCCCTTCGGTGACTAATGATGTGGATTGGCATCATTGCTTTGTTGTCCTCTCTGACTCCCCGGGAACAATGAAAAAAGTGGCAGATGGCTAACCTGCAAAGCCGTTATCGAAGATTACCAACTGTTAGGAAGGACTTGTGTGTTACTAAACTAGTTCACCATTAGCTATGTGATCGAGAGTGCTCTTTGTTGTTGTGGCTCTTTTTTCTAGCTTTAGAGTTAGTTTAAGCTGTGCAGTAAAAAGTGATGCATAAGAACGTGTTCAATACTTGTGTTGAGTACAATGGCCGAAAGCCACACAAGCACGTGTGCGTTCAGAAACACACAGGCAGAATGTGTGACGTATATTGCCGTGCTACAAACCAGTGCCAGTTGTATAATTTGTGACATTCAATTCACTGCGTCAAGAACACACAGCTCTTTTGCTGATTGATTTTTTCATCGTTTATTGTTGACCATCAGAGAGTGGAACACCAAACTTTTAAAACTTTAACTTAACTTGGATGACATTTGATTACAAAGTGTTCTTTGGTTTGGAGGCTGTACACAAAATAATCATAATCTTTTAATGTGTTAGCACATTGAGCTCAGTGGAAAGGTACTTTGAAACTAAGTTGACTGGCATTTGGTTTGTGCAGGAGTATGATTGGAAGCACAGCGCACAGCAGAGCCACAGGTACTGCCTTGGGCAAATAGGCAGTTCTTTCATGTTCATGTTTTAATAATTTAGATTAACCTAGTTGCTATTTAAGTAAACTGTGACTATAAATTAATGCTGCCTGATGCTCCTGTGAGTGCCCGTTCCCTCAGACATCACATTGCAATGTACACAGCTGAATGCACTCATATTTAACTCCCTACCGCTCTGCATTTTGTGAGGATCACAGATAGATAGATAGATAGATAGATAGATAGATAGATAGATAGATAGA